GATAGCTATATGGGACCATGGACGCGAGGGAACCGGAAGAGGTTGTAGCAGGCCTAAGGGAGGTTGATGTGAGGCTTTATTTCTTGCACAGGAGGAACAGGCCAACACATACTCCTTGACATCTCTGTGAAGAGTTGGCCACCAGAAGCATGTTGAAATTAAAGCGACGGTTCTACTGACCCCCGGATGGGCGGAGAACTTAGCAGCATGCATCCACTGTATTAGGCGAGACCTGACAGAAGATGGTACATAAGTTCGGTTAGCTGGACCGTTACCTGGGTCGGGTTCTGTAGCCAGGGCGGTGTTAATTAGATCGGTGATCTCCCAGGTAACCACTCCAACTGTACATGATGCGGGAAGGACAGGTTCTGGGGTCTCGGGTTGATCGACGGAGTATAGACGAGAGAGAGAATCGGGTTTGACATTCTTGGATCCGGGTCTGTAGGAGACAATGAGATTGAATCGTGAGAAGAAAATGGACCACCTAGATTGACGGGGATTCGCTTGTTTAGCTGACTGGATGTAAGCAAGGTTCTTGTGATCTGTCCAAACTAGAAGGGTGCTCAGCTCCTTCCAGCCAGTGTCTCCATTCCTCCAGCGCCAACTTGATGGCCAGCAGCTCACGGTCTCCAACATCGTAGTTTTGCTCTGCGGAGGAAAGTCTTCGAGAGAAAAAAGCACAAGGATGAATCTTTTGATCAGTGTAGAGTTTCTGAGATAACACTGCTCCAACACCAGAATCGGAAGCGTCTACTTCGAGGATGAATTGTTTGGATGGGTCAGGCTGGATTAACACGGGTGCTCTGGAAAACAATGATTTCAGTTTCTCAAATGCGGTTTGTGCCTCAGGGGTCCATTGAAAAGTTCGTTTGACTGAGGTTAACGAGGTTAGGGGAAGAGCTGTCTGGCTATAGTTCCTGATGAATCGGCGATAAAAATTGGCAAAACCCAGGAATCTCTGCAGCTGCTTGCGGTTTTCAGGAACTGGCCATTCCAAAACAGCCTTTATTTTGTCCTCTGAAGGCTTAACCTGCCCGCCCTCGAGCACAAACCCCAAAAAGGTGACTGAAGGCTGATGAAACTCACATTTTTCAGCTTTGACGAACAGTTTGTTCGCCAGCAATCTTTGCAACACAAGGCGGACATGTTTCTTATGCTCAGATAGGTTCTTTGAATAAATGAGTATGTCATCAATGTAGACGAACACGAACACATTTAAAAAGTCTCTGAGAACATCATTCACAAGGGCTTGAAAACAGGCAGGGGCATTAGTTAAACCAAAGGGCATGACCAAATATTCGAACTGACCCAAGGGGGTTTTGAAAGCTGTTTTCCACTCATCTCCATCATGGATCCTAAGAAGATGATAAGCGTTCCTCAAGTCTAGTTTGGTGAAAACAGTTGCCCCTTGTACAGGTTCAAAAGCTGAGGCGAGTAGTGGAAGAGGGTACTTGTTTTTAATAGTTATTTGGTTCAGGCCTCTGTAATCAATACATGGTCTTAGGGAACCGTCCTTCTTGCCTTCGAAAAAGAACCCAGCACCCAACGGAGAAGAAGATGGGCGAATTATTCCAGCAGCTAAAGATTGTTTATGTAATTTTCCA